ATACATATACGCACACATACATAACTTTCGCGTTGTCGGTAAAACAGACAGACTCCAGCATCCCCTTAATGACGCAACAAACTTATTTGGACTTTTTTTGACTTCAGATATTATCTTCAAACGTTTAATTTAACTTGGAGAATGAATTCTAATTCTCTTATGATTTTTGGAGACATTTTCGAATGATTCGTCTCAAACCACATCACCGACAAGTGCCTCATTTCCTTCCATTCGTAAATACAACTCATTATTGAGCAAGCATAATATGGTATACATATGTTATCGGTGGCGAACTGTAAAGCGTCTTGGATAATTCCAGACCATTTACTTTTAATGCACAAGTGCAGCCAAAGAAACCTGCGAAGGAAGCGCGTGTTATGTTTCAATACCGCGGTAGCTTAGTGCAAGGACCAAACATCAGTTTTAAATTGACCAAATATTTGGTTGTATTTGGCCAATGTTTAACCAATGCAATGTACTACTAGGATATCTCCTGAACATAGATGAGCATATTTACCGTATTTCATTATTTCCCACGTTCCCCAAATATGCATATTTTAAAATATGTAACTTGTAGACCGGCAGATATGTAGGGAAGCAATTCAAGTAGCTTAAAAATGTTATTTTGTTAAATTTAGATGCGTTAGATTGCAACTTCGTCACAGAATACAACATTTTTCCTGATTGTTCTGTGATAAACATTTTCGTATCAAAGAAAATATTAATAAGTATTTCGGAGAAAATTTCATGCAATGGTAAATGTTGTCCGACTAACCACATATTCCAATCTACAGAGTTTAACACCTGGTAACAACATAATAAAATTATTCTTTGTTTAATAAAGCAAAATTGCTTGAACTCCGGTTTATTTACACAAAAGAAAAACATGTCACCTGAATTTTATGGTCAAAAACGCGATACAGAAGTTGTTTAAAATGTGCAGTATTTAATATCTGATTTTCATCTCTCCTACACGTTCTATGATAATATTTAAAAAAATTTTTAAAACTTTCATATCCTAAGGCGCATTGTACGTGATTCAAGAGCAAACATCCTTTTTCGTATGGCACGTTATTAATAATTTCGCTGGGCAATGTACCACTCAAATAAGGAACTAACTGTATTTCGTGATTAACATAGATATTGCGGTTTAAATATGTCTGTAATTATAAGGCAGTTTTAGAAAATATTGCATTAGGTACGCAGAAATGCATAGTAACTGCGAGTGCATGGAAAAAGTAAAAAGTACTACTATTAATCTATACATTTATCCAGACAGCACACAATGTTTATAAGATATTAACAAAATATTTGTAAACATTTTATAAACCGTTTGTGCTGTCTGGGAAACACATTCGTTACTGTATTAACATCCAACAAAAATTAATGCTTCACCGTATTTAACACATCCAGTCTCTCTTTTATTTCTAGGTAACCCTCCTGTTCTTCATACCATTTAGTTAGAATTCTCCTATTGATAAACATACTAAAACTTTTAATTAACCACCAAAGTTCAAAATTTTTTATCGAAATTCTACTTGATATCCAGCTCTCGAGAATATTTTGAAGAAGTCGATCAATCTTGGTTTCCTCAGCTATAACTGATGACACGAATATCACATAAGGATATTGTACATCGGGTTCTGGCACGTTTGGTGGAAGCACGAAGACAATAAATGTATCTATACATATTATTCAATAAATATATTAATAATGCAATTCTATCTAATAAATGTTCAGATTGACAATTTCTTAGGACAGAAAATTCATTCTACATACAAATTAAGACCACATTGGTTTAATATATTACAACAAATATATATAAGAGGTATATTACCCGATCTAAGGTTACAACCATAATCTTCAAGTTCTTTAGCAATCTCACTTTTGCGTAAATATGAATTTATCTTACGCAGTGCCAGTGTACATGGCATTAAATATTTTTCTTCAGCCCACAGGTGAAATGCCGGGCGTTTTAACATTCGTCTGTCGTGCAGGTTACCCACTACAAGAATCACCGCATACGATGATATTGGATTCATTTGTTTGAACTTATATGTAGTAATATTGCGTTGAGAATACTTTGTGATCATGGTTCCAAACATTATTACACTAAAACCCAATGGAACTACAATCTAAAAAGAAAAATATATAGTGTATAATAGTAAGAATTGACTAAAGGAGTTCTTCTGTAATTAGTTAAAACTGCAAAGAATATTTAAACTATAATTGAATAATATAATTAAATTATATATAAAAAGTAATAATTCCGAAAGCATCATTACTAATTTATTTTGTATTGTTTTCATTTACTGACAATACCAGTGATAATTATTGAGACTATGTGGCAATTACAATGAAAATATATCCAAAGGTATGTTATAAGTTATAACTGTATTCTAAATCTTACAGTAGCTGTGAAGGTGAACAGGTGTGATGGGGTGTCTTGGCATGGAAATATACCTCTGGCAAATGTAAGCTGGAACATTCGAATCATAAGTACTATGCACTTTAGTGGAAAAAAAACAGTATTAATCAGGTATAACTCACCTTGCTCCTAGATATCAATAGGGGATGTTTACCATCGGAAGTTTGATTAGGTTTTAACCAATACAATGCAGGAGTAGTTGGATCTGTTTTATATTCAATCTGAACATACATTGGACTTTCACAATTATTGGGTAGATTAATAGTAAATTTATATCCAAAACCATTCCATTCTCCAATGAAATACTCTAATTGTTCTGCGGTGTAAAAATTCGTAACACTTGATACTTCTAGGCCGTAGCTATCTAAAATCTACTTGTTCGACATTACACATTAATGGTAATTTAAAAAGTACTTACAAATAAAGAGGGATCTTTACTCACTAGTTCGTGATGGTTGTGATTCTTGCGTTGTACTGTTAGTACTGCCGTGCCATGAATAACGGTATTAACAAAATCCACATGGAAATCCAAGGAAATATGAGTTACAGCACAGATGTCTAATAAATAAAAACTTATAAATATTGGAAAATATCCACTTAAATATTTAGTCTATAAGTAATAAACGCAAGTACACGAAGAAGTTGAATATTACGAATAAAGATCTAATATGCACAGGATTGCATTTATGGTGCAAACATTGGTATGCTCTGTTTAACATATATTTCTTGTATGTAAGGAATCACGTAGAATGCTACAAGTCGTGAAAGAATAATTTAATTTAAAATATTGAATTATTAAACACCTGGAGATACATGCGACTGTGTTGTCTTCAAACATGCCAGTAAATAACTTAAATGTAGCCAATAGTCGCGTTATATTTCTGAGAGATAGATAGAAAATAAATTTTTACCCGTAATATTATTTAAAATTATTCTCAGTTAATTGAGTAATTAAAATACCTGGTCTGGCATAAGAATGCGGGTCGTTTGGAGACAGAGCCATTGTTAAGTCTATGCAAATCTTTGTAAGTAACTATCGACGATAGAACCTTAAGTGTCACTGATTTTATTTTCAGGAGCCTACGCGTACGTTTTCCTTCCTTATTCTATAACCTACTGTGCTATCTCTTACCATCCTGTCCCCTATTTGCCACGTTTATGTTTTTGAGTGTTTATATTATTTTGTTTATTAAAGTGTCGAATATTGAAAATTGTTATGTCTTGTATATGTCATATATAGATGGTTGGCTACGTTGTTAAAATCAATTTCGAACGACGATTTTATTTATTTCAATTGATATGCATATCATACTTCGTATTACGAGTACACTTTTTCTATTTTGCGTAAAACTTATTTCTCATGTTTTTCTAATTCAGAAAAAATATAATTTAATTGAAGTTTACATGTCGGCATCTAAAAGCTTATTAAATTTTCTTGATAATAAGCTTGTAGTTACAAGATATAATAGCTTATTATCAAGAAAATTTAATGCACAATTGTGCATATAGGTTTCCGCCGGCAATTACCAGAAATGTATTCGATATCTTATTCACAGTAACTCTTCTTTATACACGTACCATAATATAAAACGTACTCGGATTAAAAAGAATCCGCGAGAAAAACGTTCGTATATACATAAGTACATATCTCTTTAATTTTACTAGTAAATATGTTTTGTTACAACTAATAAAGATCGAATCTTTTAAATGACAGTTGAAATTGCTACTGATTAAACTTGTATAAAAGAATTAACATTTGTGGTTACTTTTCCAATATTCGATATAAATATGTCATAACAATTCAGCCATAGAATTAATTTTAATCCTTTGTACTGTACCTCTTTCAATTATTATATACAAAAATTTTGGTGAACAATCATATATTCAGATGGTTGGTTACGTTTTTAAAATCAACTTCGCACAAGGACTTTGTTCGTTTTAATTGATATGCATAGGATTTATACTATGATATACAAGGCAATTTCTAAATATCAAATACACTTTTAACATTTAATTAGGAATTATGCTGTATATTCAAGTAAAATGATCTTCATGGTAGTGCAACAAAGTGAAGCTATTAGGGTTATTCGTGACGATTTAATATTCTTCATTTAGGCCGGTTCAGAAGTTTACCCGAAAACAATCGTTCGGTGCCAACGTAACTCGGACTATCAGATTTGTATTTATTTCACTGTAATGTCTTCTAACATTACTTATTATAATGTCTTGCAACGAAAATGTATCTTAGAACGATGACATTTAAATACAACTGTTTAAAATATTGGAAAAATATGCAAGGTCGCATTTGCCATTTGTGATTTTACTTTCAAATTAAAAATCAAACATTTAAATATTAAAAAGTCAATTTTTAACGAAAAATATTTATTCCTTGAAATGTTACATAAGTTGATAAAATTTATGAAATAAAAGATGAAAGATGTAGTCGTTGGCCACATATAGGTATGGGTAAATAAGTTTTTACAGTTCAGACAAAATAACGTAAAATAAGGTTAAATATTTTTAAATATAATTTAATATAATGACAACAAAAATATATGATGACATTTTGACTAGAGTTTCATCATCCGAATGGACATTTCGTTTCACATTTAAGTCGTAGACTTTTCTTTAGATTAGGTTAAAATGAGGTTAACATAAGATACAACATTTACAAATTATGTGTTCAGACAATATTAGATATATAGAAATCTTTATCTTGATACTTAAATCGTAAATTGTAATAACATTTGACCACAATTCGATATGATTGATTGTATTGTGACTCTCGTGACGAATGCATGATTTATTCGAGTACAAATGCAATAAATAACATTCATTCTATGACTTAACTTTGAATATACACATTCAAGCAATTTCTCCATTATTGGTGTTCCCTATTTTTCTATAAATAACATTGAAAAAATACTTATTAGCACGTGTTCTTATTAATACGTGTTAATAACGTGTTTTTTTTTCAGAATTATATGTGACCAATAATTGGAAAAATTGGAAACGCCAAATAAGTGTTATTATTTCATTATATCATTCGTACTAGCAAACTGAAAAATATAAGTCTTTAAATAATGTCTTATAAAGTATTCACCTTTTATATTAATACTTGCTTTAAGTATTAGCACAAACAAAAACAAATTATCTGAGGATGATCTAAAAACCGTTTTATATTTATATCTTTAAGACAATTTTGACTTCTTATTAATTTGATCGATTTTCAATCGAAACTTGAAACCCGCGGTTACGTTAAGTCTATCAGTTATTCTTTGTGCCATGCAGTGTATATTTTATACACTTGTCGCACAATTTTAAAGGCACCTAGTTACAAAAACTATATTGATTTCTGAAAAATTACTTCGTTTAATATCCTGCAGCATTTAACATAATTGTATCATTCTTTATATTTAATTTTATATTTTCTTCAATTTTTTAAAGCTCTCGAAAGAAAAAAATGAGTATTCTACAGATTAATATTTTATCAATATTCGATTTAAGTAATCTCTTATTTATAGTGCAAGCGGCAAAGAAAAATGAAGTTTTATATTCCTATAGATTCTACATAGATAAAATCATTAGTTTAATTTAACTTTTTACGTGTAGAAACCTTGTTTTTTCGATTGTACTATCAATAACAGAGTACTTTGGTATAATTGAGTATTAAATTATAAGAAATTGATAGTAACATACATTGTACAACAGCAGGGCTATTTGATACAAGATATTTCTTTGTGAAACATATATCTCTTTATGAGATATATGTATGTATGTATATACACATATGTGCATTTAGTCACTAAAATTAATAAATATTAAATCATCTAAATTGTAGTCACACAGTAGTTTTTAAATATACAAGGTATTTTTTTAATCTATAACAATAGGCTGATATATCTTTGTCACACTTCATTACATTCTATTGTCTTAATTCATAAAGAAAGTAACGGTTTAAATTAAGTTTCGAATCTGTATCTTTGTAAAATAAATTATTAAATTACAATATAACAATTGCTACGACGAAACATCTTGAGCTTAGGCACAGTGCCTGTAAAGTCTCACAAAATCATGATTCACAGTTTTATCTATAAGAGCAAATTTCATACCAACATATATTTAATCATTAATTGCTATTGTTAAATAGTTGTTCATGGCGGCGCCGAATGTGGAGGTTGGGGTCAGCAATTTGAAACAGCACTGTGCTTCTCATCCGCGTAATAAGATACTGTTACAACATCGCCACCCACATTAATGAGGCATTGACCCTGGAAACAGATTTTTTTTAAATAAAATATACAAGCATATATGCACGCAAGTAAAATAGTGTTTTTCACTTACTTGATTTTTATGAGGGCTGTGAAGAAGCACACACTGCGTCATAAAGAACGCCACCATAGCGTTACCGCCTAACGCCGTAATGTGCGCGCGAACAATTGCCAGAACTTCCATTACGAAACTGTGAGTGAAACCACTCAATCCACCATTCTGTAATATATTGTCGTCAGGATTGTTATAGTTGAATTCTTAACAGCCCATTGAGAATAATCGTCAATTGTGAACTCTACAGAAACTCACCTCTCGTATCGATGTACTTTCTCGAATGAAAAAGAAATTAAGGTTGCCTTGATACCTCTCTATTCTTCCACCCGGTAGATAAGATAAAGGCGTTATATCTACGCCATATCTTCCTTTCAAAGGCACCTTTAATCAATTGAGATATAAAGAAAAATCCTTACATTTTGTTACGCTCAGCATTTAATTAAAAGTTTAAAGATGTAAGTGTTGAAAGTATCAGGAAACGTTAATAACAACAAATGCAAATACTAAATTCTATATATAGATAATTTTTTTAAGAAAAATTCTTACATGTTTACGTCTATGAGTAGTGAATGACTTTAGACGTAAAGGTGAGCGTGGTCTTGGCTTTTGTACAGGGGTACTACTTAAAGTCGCGGGATTTCCTACACAAGTTCGTGTTGCATTGTCGGATGGAACACTGTTTTCAATATGATCCTCATCTAGGCTGAATATCATGTCACTATCGTCTGGCAGAAGAAATAAAAGAATTAATGTCTTTCCTTCAAAATGGATGACGTTAGACGCTCAGCTAATAAAACTGTGGTCGTGGATTGTAATATTAAATCCGGTAATAATTTCCAATAAAAATGTTAATGTAACTTGCAAACAGAATTGCTTCAGAGAAATTACCTGATTTTCTCACTTGATCCTTGCTTAAAGAACGACACACAATTTTCCTCTTATATTTATTCGCATTCAAGGGCTCTCCTAAGCCAAGCGCCATACCAACGACAGTCAATTGTATCTCATCTTGTTCGGGTAATCCTACTTTGAACTGCATATCGCACAGTGCGCAGGGAACCATTCTTCTTAATTTGAAATACAGGGACTAAAATTAAGCTTTAATAAAATGGAAATATTTTCTTTTCGCGAAGTATACTTTCAATCACAAGTGAAAGTACGTGAAGGAACGTGCTGCGAAGTAAAGGCATTTCTTAACGAAACATTTTAGAGATGGAAACTCGTACCTGAAGTAATCTGGCGAAATATTTTGATGGCATCGATGCGAATTGTACCATAGGAATTTTGGCCCTTGAGATTTGTGTGAACATTTGTAAATTTCTGACGATCTCTAAATCTTCGAGGCCGGGTATCGTCTGCGTATTAACAACGTGGAAATCGTCGGGTGGTCTGTTGTCCATTAACGACGATATCCGGTCCATATCCTCGATGTCGTCCACTTCCAAGACACACGCGTCGCGAGTACCCAATCCAAGATCGAGTTCCGGCAGATCCTCGTCTGACTCGTCTGTATCGGAAGTACTCGGAATGCGTCCGTTTTCGACTTCCTACAATCGCGTCACGATTATAATTAACGATCAAACCCGAGGGCGATAGTCGCTGAAATGAAAACGGTGCTAAGTCCCACGTACGTTGACTCCGATAGGTTTCAGACGGTAAAACTCTCTATTCCTCTTCACTGTTTCCACGATAGACTTTTGCATTTCCCCCAATTGCTCCTCGTTGTGCCACGAATTGCCGGACGCTATTTGCGGGATGGTGGGCGGCGGTAGAGCCGTCAGGTAAACCGCGGTGCCTACCGCCATGCCGATTATGAATCGTTCCCCTACGGAAACCTGCAACCTGAGGCCGAACACCGCGTTCATGCCCTTGATCTTGAGCTTATTCAACAATAAGCTGTGCAGTTCGTATTCCAAGAACGGCAGGCAATCGGATATCTCCTTCGCGTTCAGCTCGCCCCGCAGGTCCTTCTTGCTCTTGCACACGGTCGCTTGGATGAAGCAACCCCTCCCGGTCGTCGGTATATTCGCGGGCACTTCTATAGTGGTGAACATCACGTCTGGGACTTTGGCACGCTTGCATATGGCACACTTGGACACGTTGACTCTAAATGGCACACTAGTCTCGCTGTAAGGGAGATGGCACAGGTTGCATCGCAACTGAGACGACTGGCCGCAGAGGCCCTCGTGATCGTTGCTCTCGGAAGAGTGCTTGCACACCTTCCCGTTCTGTCGTTCCGAGTGAGTCGCGATGGACGCGTCGCTGTCAATCCTCTCCGCCGCCTTCATCGCCACGGACTTCTGCTGGCCCTTTTCCGAATCCACGGCAGCCGCGGGCACGCTCTGCTGAAGTTTATTCAGAACGACACCGTCCGGATCTTGGCCGGAATTATGAAAATTTATGACTGCCGCGGTACCGGAAGCACTCAGCACGCAAACATCGTCGCTGTAGAGAAATTATTGCGTGCACAGTGTTCATATGTTATTAATACGACAGGATACCAAGAGGCAGTAAAAACTTACGCAAGAGGTTTGCTTTACAAAAAAAAAATACTAATGTCTCGTGGCAGCATCGACAAATGCTGCATGCAAACATGAAGGCTCTTACCATATACTAGTCTCTTCTTTGTATCCTATAACGACGTTACAGGCTAACGCTCTCGCGTGAGATCTAACTTCCATCCTAATTTCGGTCCACCACGAGTCACGACCCTCCGGCTCCTCGAGATTACTTATCCTTTCGAGCAACTTGACCGACTTCGAGCTCACCAGACCACCTGTCCCAATCGTTAACATAAATCAGCTTGTCGTAGCATTCGACTTGCGCGAAGCTTTGCATTTTGAACAAATCGACCGTGTTTAATTATCGTCAAAAGGGACTGGATAACGGCCTCGCGTCGAGGTGACCTTGGAGACGAATAGTAAGCTCAATTACCTATATGTAATATAAAGCCAGGTGGATAATGTTGCATAGTGATGAATGGATACTCTAGCATTTCCAGCGTGTCCTGGTTCATAGGTCTGACCACCGCAGTCGGTGTCCTCAAGGGTCCCGCTATCGATCTATCACTGCTACCGAGAGAGTTACCTGAGACACAATGTAATCTTCTCATTTCTCCATCGCGCCTTTCAATCAAATCGTCAGAACTAAATCCTAAACGTCAGCAATATACAGGGTGAGGAAAAAATGTGGAAACCCCAAATTTTTTTTAAAAACTATGCATTTTAGAGACAAATGTTTGAGACAAAAGTGAACAACTTTTGTCTGAAACTTTTTTATTTGTCTAATATTTTTTTAAATATTCAAAGAAAACTTGGCAACTTTTTCAATAATCATCATATCTCGATAACTGTTTATCGCGAGGAGAAATGATACAGGACTTTTTGACTTGATCTGGTTGTCAAGAATATGCTGTTGCAATGGTACTCCAACTTTGGTAAACATTTGTGTACACATCTCCTTGGAGTTTTCATGCATACACAATGAGAGGAGAAGATACGATTTTACGTGCGAACGACAGTGGTCGTTGCGTAGTCTCTTGTGCGCTCGGTGGAGCAGCTCACCTTTAGGGGTAACGCTCAGATCGGAGTCGCTCGATCTCCGGTGAAGCGGCACGTTGGCGAGCGTCTTGGTTGCCGGCGACTGGGACATTTTCGTAGTCACCGTGGAGGAAACAGCCGGAAGCGGGCAGGACGGACTGACCGACGCCTCATCTTGCTGCCTAAGATCGGGAGAAGGACGGGACACACGCGAGTTGTAAGTCATATTAGCATTGTTAGTGGGCATAGCGCAATCAATATGACGCGATGTTCTCCCTAGATTACAGACGCTACTGGCTGATACCGCGCCGGGTTCGCCGCAGTCGCTCCTCGGCGACTTCCTCGGCGAGGACCGGGACGAGCGGTCGCGCGGACGGTAGGCGGCGGGGGACGGGGACACGCGCGCGGTGCGATCGGTTAAGCTGACAAGGGAGGAGCCGCAGGAGCGGGAGGTGGCGTGGAGGATCGGACGCCGACCCGAGGAGAGGCACTCGGGGATCGAGCGGACGCGAGGAACGCGAAGAAGAGCGTCTTGCTCGCGGCGCTTGTGCGACGCGCGTCTCCTCACGGACGCGCCGCGGGAAGGAAACTTGTCAGATGGATTCCCCGGCTTCCCTGGGCCCTTGCGGTACGTTCTCCCTTCGCGCCTCCTCTTCAGCGATACGATTCTCATGCTGTGGCGCGCGGACACCATCAACTTCGTGTCTATCAGTCTCATCAGATCGCGCATATACCTCCGTCTCTCGATGGTCGCCACCGCGCGAGCTTCCTCGTTCGACAGGCTGGACTCTGTCGTAGCGCGAGGTAAACTGGTCGACGGATCGTTTCTCTCCTGGTCCACGTTCGCGCGATCTCCCGGGCCTGCGGGAGACGGGGACTCGACTCGCGCCGACCTGCCGTCCTGTCGATGAGCGGACTGCCTGCGCTCCCGAAACAAATCTCGCTCGTGCTTCGTCAGGTGTACGCGACGCGCTTCGAGAATCGACGATCCGGATGTAGCACTGCCGCGCTGCTCAGCTTTCTCCAAGCTCGGCGTTTGACACTCGTTCCCGGAAGTGTCGGGTGCCCGGCTCACGCCGTCAATCTCTCGTTTATCAGATAAACGAGTTAATTTTGCAGCGGAGAAGTCGTCGGGTCGACTTTCGTTGTCCGACAGTCCGGACGTGTCCGAGTCGGTGCTCTCCCGCGCGTCCACGGTGATGATGGGGATCGCGGCACTTGGCGCCACGGCGTCTTCCGTGCTCGCCAAATTCGGGTCTGACGGCGGACGATTCGCCGCCACGTCCGAGTCCATCTGCAACGTGGAGTCCGTGCAGCTCTCCGCGCTCGAGTGCGCGATGGGCATCCTCTCCTGGAGACTCGACGAGTCCTCCTTGTCGGAGTCTCGGTCGACCGAGTATCTCGAGTCGTCCAAGATGTTGTAGCTGGCGGTGTCCTCCGACGACTCGTCGCCCGTGGAATTGTCCTCGTCGAGGGAGGACGTCTCGGTTTCATCGATCAAGGACGCGACGTCCTGCTTCCGCCCTTCCTCCTGGGCGCCGTTGTCCGCCGCACTCTCGCCAGGATGTTCTCTGCAGCGTGTCTCTGTCTTCGCCTCCTCGCTGGCTTGTCCGTCACTGGGGAATGTCGAAATAGGATCGGTATTCCCGATACTTTCCAGAGGCATGGTCTGTATTGCTCCGATGAGTAACGCGGCCATTATCTTACCGGTGGTCTTGCCTTCTTTGAGATTCCGCTCCTTCTTAGGATTCACGGCGACCCGATCGGCGTCGGAATCGCGCTCGGACTCCGCTGTAAAGCGACCCTCCTCGCCGACCGAATGAAATTTACTGCGTAGGTGCTTGATTTGCTTGGAGAGACGACCTCTCGACTCCTTCTTCACGTCCTCCGGCGTCAGCATGGTACGTACAGATCTCACCGTCTCGTCCATTAAACTGCGGCTGATTTCCGGAGATGGCGTGAGGTCCGAGCCGCTGGACGCGGTTACCCTTAGATTCAACATGCTCGACGTGTTGGACCGTAAAAACGGGATGCGCTTGGCACGTTTCCTTCGCGCTCCGGCGGCGTATCCAGGAGCAGCGGGCAGCCTCGCGGCGCGTTCCAGGCGCGTTAGGGACGACGAGGACCGCGCGTAAAACGAGAGGTTGCGAATGGGATGCGGAGCGGGAACGGAAATGGGGATGAACGGCGCGCTGTCGTCGGCGTAACGTTCCGTTCGCGCTATCGTGCGTGAGGAAAGCGCGAATGCGATTCTATGCAGACGCACGGGGGTAGGGAAGAAGAAGAAAAGCATCCATTAATCTTCGTGTAACTCCCTAGAAAAGTACGGTGCAATTAAAAACAACTGTGAAACGGACGATCTCTGACTTCGAGCGACCGGGAAGGGGTATAATTTACAAGCTACATTCGCTGAGAAGTAGAGACAGTATAACCGAGTTCAAAGAGAAAACGTTTTAAAACCGCGAAACGCAAGGCTGCTTTTATTACACGAAAAGGACTGAATCGTATCGATGAATATGAAACAAATATTTCATTTGGGTGTCAATTGAAACGAAATGTCTTATTCGAGTGTCAATTCAGATAACAGCGTTTTATCAACGACGCTAAGCAATTTGACTCGGGTCTATTCGTGACACCGAAACAAAAAGTAATCGTCACCTAATTGCTCTCCGCAAATTGGATTAATACGCCCAGTAAATTCAGGTCGCCCATATCTATCTACCGTAAATTATTTTCAGCCGCAGAATAGAGTGGCTCAGCCGTAAAATAGAAATGGCTATATTTCCTTGTACGAAATTCTCGAAATAGCTCGTTCGCGGGCGCCAACTTTATCGTGGATTATGCGAGTTGGCGACACCTATTTAATTGGCTCGCACGATGCCAGACGCAATTGCGCGACAATCTACCGTTCGGCCATTTATGACCGAATTACGTTTCGACAAGAACTGCCCAATAATCCACAATTGGCTGTGCAATACACTTACTCCTCGATATTGACGCTGTCGCAGGGAAAGCCGAGGACGTCGTGCAATTTGACGAGCGTCACCGCTGTGCCTATACCTCTGGCAACGATACCGGACTCGCCTTCCAGATCAAAGTTTTGTAGATACCTGATGTCAAAATATATGAAGAATTAGGAAATGAAATAACGAGCATGCATCCTAGATACCTAATGGAGCGTAGTGTTACGAAATAACCGAAGGTTTTCTCCTAGGAGAACAAATTTACCCAATCACAGCATTTCCACCGAGATCCAGCGCTTTCAGTCCGATCTTCCTCTGGACTTCTCCGCTCAGTTTAAAAAACATAGTCTGCCGTGCCTCGTTCGACGCTCTAGGCGTTCTTATTTTGTCGATCCACTTGTATTCTGGATCATCGCTGACTACAAGCTCTTCCACGAATCCATGTATCATTTGCGCATGATATCCGTACGGTATATTAGGTGCTAAAATGTACCCCGAGTTACTACAGATCTCTCGAAGCACCTACTTTAGTGAGCCTACATAAGTAATCTGGCCGTTGAGCTCGACGCCCAAATTACTCACGCAAGCTCACCAGAGGAGGCGTTTATTTTGTGCGACGCCAAATCTTTCCCCGGGCACTGGCGCAGGAATGAAATGTGCTTACAGTAAAAAAATTGCACTCCACAGGACGACTGTCTGAACTTGTTAAAATCGGAGAAGAGCTCCACCTTAATGATAATATTAACTTCGCCGCGTATGCCGTGCATCGTGTCGAACACAGGTATCCATCCGGTCATAACCGAGCCTGCGGGCAGAAAGTGCGGGGGCACAGAGAGTAGTACGTTTGAGCAGTGGGCAAAATGTAGAATAAATATCCCGCGTGTCAAGTTGCACGTGTGTTCACCTTGTGAGCCAGCGCCGGTGTTCATAGTCGCCTCCAGGGTCCAAATGTTCTTCACGGGGGGCAGCATACCGGGCAGCAACAGCGGATTGAGATTTACGTAAACCTTGCCTATCGCATCGTTGGCGGAGTAGGTGTCGTGGTCCATCAGTCTGATCTGCAACGGCTCGTCCTGCAGCTCCGCGTCGTCGACCTCGAACCTGTACCACTCCGAGTTCCACTGCGGATTCAGCGACTTCCGGCACACGTCCGTCTTATAGGTGATATTGCCGAACTTGAGCTCCACGTAGGCGTCCGTCGTGTCGCCGGAGCGGTCCATCACCGGCAGGTTGCGGCCCGCCAGTATCTTCACCTTTATCTTCCCGGGCATCCTGCGGCTGTCGCGCTCAACGAGCGGTCTCCACATGCAAACAGATTCACAATTACTTGGCCATGCTGGCGCAAAGAGATATACGTGCTCACGATACTCAGATAACGCGTGTGCGGAGATTACAGTGCACAGATACATATCTGCCGTAGCTCGCAGTGTATACAGACATATAATCGCGATATAAACGTACACTTATATATTCGCGTTAAACATACTATATAGAATACGTATCTGCAAATGCACGTCTAATCGTCGGCGTGCGCCAATCGGTACGTTACGTTTACGCTCATCTTACGGACAACTTTTCGCGCCTCGGCTAATTCTGCCGCGGTTTCACGCGGACCCTAATGAGGCTCGAGGAGTATTCGGAGGCTCGGTTAAGACCGGACGCCAGGTTAAGACGTGTCGCGGCGGCGTAGCGGAGGATCCGCCGCGACTCGCGGCGCCCAGCGACGTTGTTCGCTCACCACGTTCCGCATTTAGCTCGACGGTGACACTTGGCGGGTGACTCAGTTTAACGAGCAGTTTGTCAACGCGTGCGATCACATCTTCCCCGATTTTCTCTCGCCCCGCGCGCGCGAGCCCGCTCTCCCTTCTTTCCCCCCCGTCGGCAACCGCGCATCCGGTTCTTAGCACGCGGGCAGCGCGGCGCCATCTGGCGGCGGCCCGGGGGAACCGGCCCGTCCTACCGGCCCGCTGTTGTCCCGTCGCGCTGCCCGTAACCTATAAAAAGCTGGGACGGAGGAACTCGGGCGGCTCGTGGCCAGCGGAGGACTTTTAAAATGGACGACGAGAGCGACCAGGAGACCACGATCGAGGACGACTACTACACGTTCCTGAACATCCCGAGAAATGTGAGAACGTGCTCCGCGATTTCCCCGTCGCCCGGTTTTTCCCCCCGGAGGAGGGGGCGCAGAGCCCGGGCTCTTGCAGGCTGACGTAACGGGGAGCCCCGGGTGGGTGTCCCGCGTTCCTCCGCGACCGACGCGAGGAACCGCGGACGGGACGAGCCGGCACGCCGACGCCCGGCCCTCGCTCGCTTCCCGCGACCAGAGAATCCCTCGTCGTGGAACGCGAATCCGCTCGGTTCTCGCGTCGCGCGCGACCGGTCGTCGCATCGGGTCCGAGCCCCCCCCCCCCAGGTCTTTTCTCTCATAAAAGCCGCCCCCCGCTGCAACGACACCCTCTGACGTTCCAGGCCAGTCCCGAGGACATCAGCAATGCGTACCGCAGGCTCAGTAGACTCTACCATCCGGACAAGCACACGGAGCCGACGCTCAAGAGGGAAGCGGAGATACTTTTCAATCGCACGAAGAAGGCTTACGAAGGTATCGCAACGCACCGCTGACACGTGGGTGCGCGTTCGCGCGTCAGAGGGCTACTGGTGCTTTGGAGCAATTCTTTTCGAACCCAGCTACCACAGTGCTCACACGTACACATATTATCTTAGAACTCGACTCTGTCTTATTCGACGACGACGACTGACTTGGTTTCACTCGAAAAGGACCCAAAAGAATGGGGTCGAAACGTTGTGTGTAATAAACTAATTGAATAACTATAAATTCTTTATCCCGGATAATTTCAATTGTACGCCATGATTAATTCGTACGATTGCGGAGGCGAATTACGAATCTAATGCTCGGTATTGCAGTGTTGAACGATCCGCATCAGAGGGCGATTTACGACTCGCTGGGAATCCGTGGGCTACAGACGGAAGGATGGGAGATTGTGCAGCGCACGAAAACGCCTCAGGAGATACGCGAGGAGTACGAGAGGCTGGCGAGGGAGCGGGAGGAGAGGCGGCTGCAGCAGCACACCAACCCCAAAGGCACTGTAACGGTAAACATCAATGCCACCGATCTTTTCAGTAAATACGATGAAGATTACAACGATGGGTAAGATCGATCAATCTAAATTACTACGATAAGACGTCAAATCTATGCTAAGACAGTAGAGAGCTAGCTCGACGATGAGACTCAATCGTTAGATTAACAAGTCGAAAGCTACAATTGCCCGATTGGAAAGTTATGGGACTGAAATTTCAGCAGCGGGCTGTTCTCGTGCATCGAAGTCAGCGGGATGTCGTTCGCGCAATCTATCGAAGCGCCGCTCACCCTCAGGGACACCGTGACTATGTCCGGTCAGCTAGGGACCCAGAACGGCACGGGTTCCGGGTCCATCAATGTCTCGGCGAAGCGGCTGATATCTTCGAAGGGTTGGGTCGAGGTCGAGGTCGGGGCTGGCAACGGCCCGACGTTCTCCCTCAAGGCGTTCCGCACGTTGACAAAACGGTTGTTTTGCGACGGGGCGGCGATACTGCAATTCACCGCGCACGGCGTGAAAGCTGGCTACGTTGGGAGTACGTTCACTTGCGGTTCTCATAGTATAATTGTAACCGTGTAATTCTTAGTTTCTTATATCGTTCACATTTGCTTAACCCGTTGAGAGAGATACGACGTTGAATGAGATTGTTTTACCTATTCGCAGCTCTTGCGATGCAATTGGATAAGCATACGGTGGGATACCTCACGTACAGAGCTGGCATTCAAGACGCCATGAGCACCATGATTGTGAGAGACACGTCTCGATCGTACACGGCGTTTTCTATACATTTCGGACTCCTACATTCTTTCGTCAGTCTCAACTACACGTATAAGATGGAAGAGAAGCAACTCAAGCTACGTGGTAGTGTCAAGTTGGTACCATTGACTTTATCTTCATTCTATCAACATCAATAATTGACCGTGCATTAATTTCTTCCGCGTGATTTACAGAGCCGGAACGTTTGGTGCATTTCTCGAATACGGCGCGGAGAAGAAGGTCTCCAAACATAGCTCGGTCTCGGCGGCTGTACGCATCGGCGTCCCAACTGGCGTCACGTTGAAACTTAGACTGAGCCGCGCTTCGCAGGCGTACACGTTCCCTATCCATCTGTGCGACGAGGTTCTTCCAGCTCCGGTCTTTTACGCCACCGTGGCACCTATAATAACTTGGACGGTCATTAAGAAGCTCATAATCGACCCCGTCGTGAAGGAGCGAACAGAACGCGAGAAGGAGAAACAGAGAGAGTTGAACAAGTCCAGAATGATGGAGAAGCAGAGGGAAGCCAAGGCGGCCACCGAACTGATGAAGGAAACAGTCAGCAGGATAAGATCCGAGGAGGAATCCAAGAAAGGACTAATTATTACCAAAGCATTGTACGGTCGATTCGTTTATCCTCAACAGGATCGAGCTGCTACGGAGGAGGGCGGACACAGAGATGAAGTGATAGACGTAACGATTCCTTTGCAATGTTTAGTCAAGGATTCCAAACTGATCCTTCACAAGGCATCCAAGGTGCGCTCTTAACTGTATCTCGTCTCTTGTTCAAGGGTCTTTGATGCTCTTAAATGTTTTCCTTTTTGTCAAGATTTTATCTTTCGCACTCTCATATTTTTAATTTTACACAATTGAGATGCAATATTATTCTTTATTACTCTCAAAATAAATCACAATTACTCTTTCGCTTCAAATTTTTTCAAAACTTTGTAATCAATATCTTAAAATAAACTCGAGTACTTGTGGAGTGAAGATCGAAACACAAAAATTGAAGTAGCATTTGCAAACTGTATGAAAAATAAATATTGTTTTGATGCTGTTGCAGAGCCAACTACCTGGATTTTATGATCCATGTGTGGGAGAAGACAAGCAGCTTTTAGTACAGTATCTCTTCCATACTCAAACTCATGAATGCGTTATACAGGATGATGCGCCTCTTAGGATACCAGTCTCATGTAAGAATTTACTTGTCTGTTGCAAACACATTTGTATTCATTGATTAGCTAATGTGCCATTGACGTGTTTCAGCACACAAAGTAAACACCACTTGACATACAGATTCAACATTGAAACCAAGAACCAGTCGTCGCAGTTCCCGCCAATGATCAGCGTTATTTTGGTGTAGATTTGTTCATTTTTACAGGTTTAATTTTACATAAAGGATAAAAAGAAATACCAAGTGTTCGTTGATCCTTAAGCTTTGTACATTAATGTCATTCTCAGTAATATTTTACTATTTGAAAATTCTAGTGATATTTTTAATATATTAAGTATTTCGCGGTTTTTCTCGAGAACAGTATAAAAGTATAGAAAAGAATTAATCCTACATAGATTCAGCTCCGTTGTGCTCGTGAAATGGTTTTAGTCGTCGGACGTACCAAAATACACTATCATTTCGCTAATCGACATCGTATTCCAAAGACTTTAGAAAGAGCAAAACTCAACCCAAACGCAAACTATTTACTGCCCCTAGAAATGTAATGTTATACACACATACCACTCTGAAATAGCCAATGTATTTTAATTCCAAGGATCTCTGAGCAGTCATCTAAAGATCGTCGCGATTAAAATCAGCCATAGCTGCATACGTATGCAGAGAAAGACATTTGTTAATTGCACAACCGATCACTGGATTTACACCGGAGTTAAAGTATTAGCGTACGCGATTTACTCCTGTACAAAATAGATATCGTATCAGACGATGAGGTGTATATAATTATATACATAACTTGGAGAAAAATTATGTATATAATTTATAATAATATAAAACAGATATCTATATATCCATCTATTCTATATACCTATGTGAAAAATATTTGTATGTATATTTACAAGTAGGGACTATAAATAGCTCGATATTATATCACGAAATAAAGTTGCTTGTTGAGTTACACTGCGAGGATGCTTAATAAGTTAGTTTGGTAGTGCCGCTAGATCTTTCTTGATCAACATGCCGCGTTCCCATCTTACACTTTTTTCACAACTTGGCTGTAACACAACAAATTCACTTGGTTGCATCACGTGCTGGTTACTTACATAATGTGACTGCTCGTAACTGAGTGTCTTGGGAGATGTGGGTCGCCAGAACCTTTTTAATTCCTCGTTCTTTGCCACCAATTGGGATGCCGGGGTCCACGTACGCTCCCATTCCATTCTATAGGAATCGATGTATACCTGCCACGAAGTCGTATCGCCCCAATCCTGTACGGAAAAATAGAACTAATTAGATAATTACGAAGGTATTATTTACCTTCGGGCTGAGCATAGAAAAATAACGCTGTCCCGAGTGCCGTTTATACAAGTGACCAGGCTGCTTCACAAAGTTGCAACGCACATTATGCAGATCGATATTACGTATCCTTGTTGCTCTTTTCCATGATAAACTCATCTATGCCCAACTCTTCTTTCAGCTTCTCCAAGAACGTCATTTGTTGTGCAATCAATTCCACCTTGTCGAGTGTACTGCAATTTATACGGTAGTTCGCCTGTGTATAAAAAAATATGTATTAATTAGGAAATATATAGTATAAGATCATATATTATAATTTAATTATAAACATTGTGCAGGTTTATATTGCCTTTTCAACTTCAGTAACCAACGTCAGTAGATCCTGTTGGCTTGGCGTCGCCACCGCGTTCGGATTGACCAGGAAGTTACCTTGCGGCACGGAATTTTTTTCCACTAGTACTCCTTCAATGAAAAAAAACGTTCATTATTAAGTAAATATTATCACAGCACTCAAATTTATCGATTGTCACAGATCATAGATACCTTCGTTCTCAAATGCATCTTCCCAGTAGTCGTCTTTCACGTCCATCGCGCAGTAATCGCCCATTGTCATTCAACTCAACTGGAAGCAAATTATATTCTATTATTACAGATTGTTCCTAAAATTTGATATCCTATTTGGAAAATTACAAACTTTACTTTCTTTTTTTATT